GGAAACAAAACTTCCAGAACACGGCCACACAGCCCGGAAGACCCACACCAGCCATTATATAAGCTATCGTTTCATATATTAAAAAAAAGCAAATCCCACTTTCATGAAATATTATAATAAAATGACTTTATATGTCATGCAAGTACAGCCATTTTGCTTTTAAAAGATGTCTACAGTTCAAGGAGTTTTGTAAATTCTTGGATATTTAAACAGAAAATAATGTAGCAATATGTAAAATGGGGATGAATACACAGAATATACTAAAAAAATACAAATATTCCATCTGTAAAATGCTAGAAAGTATAAATCTTCCAAAATGCTCTATCAGAATGCTTAATAAAAAGTCTTAGGTTGAAGCAAAGTCATCCATCGAGCTTTCATAATTCTAGCATGCCATCCTTCCCAGCTTAGGCACCCTGAAAGTATATTTCCACATTTCTCATACAGACATTCATTTAATTTATTTTTATTCAAGGATAAGAAAAAAGCTATTTTATGGTATTTTAAACTAAGTTCTAACACAACTCTTAAAATATTTTTTTGCTTTATTGTTTTATTTGTTTAAAAGGTTTGTTAAAAGCACATTTTGCTTTTTTTCAGCCACAAGAACGGAAGAATGAATTAGAACTTATGAGAGAAAAACGAATCAGGAAGTAAAAGTGAAAATACTATTAAAAATGCTGGAGGTGGAATGATTTACAACTAGAAGGATAAGATAAGATGGGCTTAGTCCTTCTATTTAGGGCAACATTAATCTTGGAGTAAAATACTGAAAGAATGTTTGATGAAATATTTATTATGGAGGGTCAGAATAAGTAATTTAAGATTTTAAGTAGTGTTGGGCAATAATAGGAATTGTGTTGCATTTTTATAATGGTCCATACCAGACCACAGAGATAATGATAAAAGATAAAAAAGCAGACAAAAGCAGCTCAACAAAAGTTGATTCTAGATTTTTTCAGATCTAGTGCATACCTTTAACACACCATCTAGACAGGAGACCTGAATAAAATGGAGGGTGAAAATGGGGATAAGGATATTTCTGATATGGTACATCAATACAAAATTTATGGAACTTTAGTAATGGATCTCTTTGTTTAGTTTAAAACAATTCTTGGTTATTACAAAAGACAATCTTCAGGATCTCACCAAAGTTTTAATGTACCAATTCTGCAGAAATCTAGATTGCAAAATTCATAATATCCACTGTCTATTTACCTCAGTAGTGAAACTCTCAAATTCTATCCAGGAATATAAAAGGATGGTTCACCCATAAAGGTCACCATCATTTCCTGAATTTTAACAAAATATAAGTCTGATATCTACAAGAGATTTGGATAAACATTATTATTTTAGATGAGCTGCTATCACCAGAAAACAATTATTGGTTTATAACTAACTTGATAATTATTTCCCACCCAAAAGTCACATTTCTGCAAGTTGAGCGGTTATATAAATCTTTAAATAAATAAATAAATAAATAAATAATCCCTGAAATGACCAATTAGCTAAACCAGTTTAATGCCTTTTAACATGTGAACCTCTAATGTTTTAAAAATGCATACAGCTAATGCTGACTGGAATAGACCATTAATACTGGAAGCTTTTAGATTAGTCATAAAGAATATTACATCATATTTAGTAGCCCCTGACAACAGAAGAATTCTATGTAGTCTTAGAATTCATGGTCCAAAAAAGAACCTCATAAAAAAGAGACAAACTTGTCAGCTAGCCAGGAAGGGCTGTTTTTTAGAAATATAAAATGAGGCTATTTCAGAATTATGGACTGCATTTGAACTTAAAAAAAAACAAATTAAGTTCTGGAAAATACTTAATGCAGATATGAGATCTCATTTTACCAGAGCAGTAACAATTGTTTCCCAGAACAAATAGATATGTCATTTTAAATCTATCTTTAATACAGGAGGAGACACATGTATCCTCTGAAATTTACCTTACACCCACTTGGTATTCTATTACAGATATCAAATTAATAGTTATTTTTACCACTTTACCTTCCAATAAAGTTCAGGTATAGATTATATGGGAAATTATACAAAATAAACCTGGATTTGTAGTGTTAATTTTTGTAAAATCTTTTATTATAAAAATTGACTGATCATATCTCCACTGGATGGAAATTTAAGCATATGGAGCTTAAAAGCATGCTTAAAAGGTTCATAGGTTTTTATTTTGTTTTTTAAGTGGGAGTAGGTAATTGCCCATTAATTAAAGAACAATTACTTTGATGGAGATTGTGGCTGAGATATATGCACAATTTCTTTTCATAAAATTAAGAGATCTTGGCAGAGGCTAATATACTTTCAGAACCATAAGCAAAACATACAGGAGGTATACATGTACTCTATTGTTGATAGCTTTTTTTATTTTAAATCATTTATTTAATAGATATACACAGATCAGGAAGGGCAAATTATTTGCTTTCTTGGTTGACATTATGGTGGCATTCAATACAATTTATACAGAATTTCATCAGAGTAATTTTTTCCTTCACTTTCTATATCTTGTCCATGCCTTATATTTTAGGGGAGACCTACTCCTTATTGTGTCCTCTCTAAACAAACACAGATGGGAAATAAGGTTGCGAATGGCCCCTTCTCTTTTTAATTACTTTGTTAATCCACTAAATTATCTATTTCACTTTTACTCTTTGCAGGGTAACAATTTTATTTTCATATACCCAGACAGTCTTAAAAAAACACGAGTCACTTTATTACCAGGATAACCACTTGACAATTTATTACAATAAGCCTAAGTAACTAAGTTTAATAGCCAAAAGGGGGAGAAATCTTAGGTTCTGGACCACTGTTGACAGAAAAGTGTCACCTATTCTCAAGCTGTTAGACCATATAACAACTCCAGATATAAGGGACCAAAACATGCAGCTTACAAATTCTTGATCAACTAAATAGTATCAAAACACAATTATGAGAGCAGTATTAGGTATCCCTAGATACAATCCATCCATTTAACTAGGGATGGAAACTTACACCCTTGTCTGGACGTAGGCTATTTAAACTACATAATATGGAAAAAAAACCTGACTTATATCAACAAAATAATTTCTAGTTGGCAAAATTCTCAGCCTTATTTCAAAAATTTAGCTTCTCTGAGTGATATTTCTCCCAATGTGAACAAGAACAGGCAAAGAAAGACTTCATACAGATAATCAGAGAAGCATTCTTACAGAGGTTTGTCCTCCTGGAGTAAAATCAAGATAGTTCTCTGGTATACTAATTTAAAACAGAAACCATGGGCTGTGGTATATCTTGCTATACAAAAAGTATATATAATGGAGCATTTCTGTTGCTGTCATTTGCTTCAGTGCAAGAAAGATATTCAAAAGTTCTTTATCGCTTACATTTCATTGTTGCAATTCTAACCTGTCAGAAGATCATCTGCATTAATCTATTTGATCTTTTGAGTAAGTTAATAGTCAGAGACAGGTGTTTCCAACATAGTGTGAAGCTCTGCATAAACTGATCTTCAGACCAGAAACTATTTTTTAGTCACTCTAGTTCTTAGGATTATTAAGCAAGTGGCTACAATTATTTTTGTTCTTTCTCAGTTTCATTCTTAGATTTAATTCAGTTTAACAAATATATTTTATTTATTATATATTAACATAACATTGTTTAATTTTGTATTAAATTATATATCTATTCATTGAACTGCCTTATCTAATTACAATATGCTTTAATTAATTATATATAAATATGAGATAATTTGTTTTTGTGAGAGCTTACAACTAAATAAAACTATTTATTTGCCTGCTTGCTTTTAGAACTGCAGCAAGAAAAGATACCCAAGATGGAGATAAGTTCTAATATATTATTATTATACTGTATCAGTTTTTTTCACATGACTGGCATATAAAATATTGTACAACAGGCTCCCATGACACTTGCACAAATATTTCACATGGCACTCAAAACTGCTCTTGATGCCCTGGTAGGGAAACAATTTTATATGCTTCACGCTAAAATATTTTTTCTGTGGGAAACCCCATGACTTTCCAAGATGTGTGTTATCTTGTCAACATGCATATTTTGTGTACTGTTTAGATAATAAAGCTATTCTTTATTATTGAAAGATAACTTACAATATCTAGCATATAGCACATTTTAAAACAAGAAGAGAATTGTAATATTTTCAAAGAGAACGTTGATTCATTATATTTTAAGTTCTGAGCATTCCTTTGGAATCAATCTCCATTCATTCAATATTTTGAAAACAGCTCTGTAAGTTCTCTCCTTCTATAAATATTCTTACCATATTCTGAAGGCATTGGTGCAGCAGAGACTGAATGTGTGACTGAATCTTCAGAGCCTGAGATAAAATACTGGTGTCTTCTAGTCAATGAAACTCCTTCTTCAGAAGGGTCAGGAAGATCCTCTATGGTCATCTTTTAGAAAGCCACCTTTGGCTAAAAAGGATTTTTAAAAAACATCTCATCAAATTGACCCATGACTCTAAGCATTCTTTGCCAGTGTAATACTTATTTCTATTACTTACTAATATACTAATACTTAAGAGTTTCCAAATATTTCGAATACCGTGTGAACTCAGAAATTGTTGCATCATCATACAAATCATTTCATCACTCCTAAATATTAGAATTTTGTCACAAGGTTTGAAATTAAGCTAGAAGGCAGTAGAAAGAAACTTTACTTAGCAAGGCATTATTAACTGAAAATATGGCACAGGGTTAACAGGTGTTCTTATAATCTAAATCCAAATATAATATTGCATATGGTCTTAAGTCTGAAAATTAGTTTCCTGTGATTATCTAAATAAAATTTAGTTTTCACGTTGCTTGAAAATTATGGAGTATATGGCCAAGAAAACATTTGCTAACAACATAAAATATAAGAGACATGTGATTAGATATCCATTGTTTCAAAGAGAAGACTTCTTTGAAGTTCTTATTTTTTTGTTTACGTACTCTATTCCTTTTAATAGTCCCTGCCAAATCTTTCAAGACAAATTTGTTCCAATTAATCTGAAATTTAGGAACTATTTGTAGAGAATTGGGGACCAGAGTGTAGGAAAGGTTTCTCAAAGGACAGTTACTTTTTCTGCCTCAGAGATTTGCTAACATTAACAGCATTACAGTTTTAATTTTTAACTAAATAATATTTACTTTTCAAAAGACAAGACTTTAAGGACACTTTTCAATAATGTGGATAATAAAATACTTTTCCCAGATGTGATTTTATAGAAATAAAACCATATTAAGCTATTTTTGTTCATTGTTTTCTGTGTATTTTTTTAAAAAATGCAATGAAACAAAAAAAACATAAAAGTTTATTTCTCACTGAACAGTATTTCATGTTATTTATAGTATCATGGAGTAATATGTAGGGATGATTTTGGATAGAATGAAGGATGATATGATTACTATCTCTATATAAATATAGAGCTATTGCTGCTGATCACCTGAAACCATCATTCTTTGTGAACATACACCAACTATTCTGTGGGAAATTACTGTATGAGCCAAGCACTTTTTGTGAAATGGGTGGCTATATAAATATGATAGACAGACAGAAAATCTACAGCATTTGTCAAGATAAAAATGCTTTCAAGTAGTATGAAAATCAGACTTGCATATTTTGCCTAGAATGTTATTTTTGTTTCAGACAATACTTCTTTTGACAAATGATGTACCAATTAAACAGTGGCAGAAAGATATATCTAAATTTGTGTGGCAGGGGAAAAAACATGAGTCAAATATAAGGTGTTACAAGATGCAAAAGAAAGAGGAGGTTTGGGTTTACCTGATTTGAAACTATACTTTGCAGCTTTTTGATTAGTTTGGATGAAAGAGTGAGTGATGCTGAGAAACAGCAGACTATTGGAGTTAGAAGAACATAATCTGAGGTTTGGGTGGCATGGTTATTTATTGTATGATAAAGCTAAAATTATTGTTGACTTTAAAAACAATTTTGTTAGATGGACCATATTGAGAATATGGAATAGATATACATCCAGATTGTGTCTGAAAATGCCTTTATGGCTATCACCACAAGAAGCATATTATAGAAGAGAAATGATAACTAAACATAAATGGTTAACTTATGGTGATATAATAGAATTTTCCCAGGGAGAATTCAAAATGAAATCAAGAGATGATTTGACATCAGAGGGATACATGTGTCAATCGTTTTCCTATGTACAATTATTAGAAAGATTTAAAGTAAATTAAAGGATTTTTGGTTTTGAATATTGTAGGACTGAATTTGAGACAAGATTAGGTACAAATGATGAATATGCCGTTGCTAAAATGTATAAACTTTAACTGAGATTTGAAACAGAAGAAGAACAAGTGAAAGAATGCATGATAAAATGGGCTAAAAAATTGGGATTTTTATTCCTGTAAGTTGCCCGGAGTCACTGTAAGTTGGGTGGCCGTATAAATTGCTTAAATAAATAAATAAATACAAATGGAACAATAGAAGAATATGTGGGTGAAAGGACTGAAATTTATATGTTATAATCTTAAAGAGAATTTTTATAAAATGATATATCATTAGTATTTTTCAGCAGAAAAAATTGTCTAAAATGTATAAAGGTACTTCGTTGGAAACGTGAACAAGATGGGACTTTTTATCATGCTTAGTGGACATGTAAAAAAGCTAAAAAAACCTGGATCCAAATACATACATTAATTCAGAAGATTTTAAAGACTGATATACAACTGAAGCCAGAGATGTTTCTTTTGGGACTGATTGACAAAAAACTGGAAAAAACTCATGGAACTTTGTTCTTATATATGGTAACAGCAGTGAGACTTTTATATGCACAGTGGTGGAAAGATTTAACATTACCCACAATTGAAGAGTGGATCATGAAGATGATGGAGTCTGCCGAGATGACTAAATTGACAGCTGTGATTAGAGAAAAAACACTGATTAAATCCAATGCCGATTGGAAACCCCTTTTGGACTTTTTGCATGAAACAGAAAAACATGAAATTATGATATATGGGTTTGATGATTAGAAAAAATATTAGATGATAGAAAAATGAAAGTTACGTTGTAACCCTAGAGTAAGAATTCAATTTAAATTTATACCTACAACTGTTGTAAAAGAAACACGGAAGCCATTTCTTTATATTTCTTTTTTCTTTCTGCACTTTTGGCTTTGTTCTCTATTTTCTTTCTTTATCTTAAATATTAGTTCTTGTTAGTTTTTATCTTTCTTGTTTAAAAATTTAATAAAGTTATTACAAAAAAATCAAACTTGCATAGGTTTCATGCAGGGAAAATTGAAGTGTTTCTCATTCATGGGAAAAGAAAAATAGTTGTACTGTTAAATGCACAAGAGCTAATTCTGTGTAATGGTTAAGGCACCAGACTAGAAACTAGGAAGACTGTGAGTTCCAGTCCTGCCTTAGGCATGACGCCACTGAGTGACCTTGGGCCAGTCACTTCTTCTCAGCAAGAGAAAGAAAGCAAAGGCAAATCTCTTCTGAAAATCTTACCAAGAAAACTGCAGGAACTAGTCCAGACAGTTGCTAGGAGTCAACACTGACTCAAAGACCTCCCCTTGCAAAAACACCTGTTAAATGCACTAAAGAAGACATATCACTCTTAATACCGTACTTTGGCATCATATCACTATTCAGCTGCTATTAGCTTTGAATCTGCCAAGATATTTCAGTTGTAGAAAATGTATCTATAACACAGCATAATTCATGGACCATGAACACTTCTGCTGTATACAGGTAGTCCTCGGTTAACAACAGTAATTGACACTAGAATTTCTGTCGCTAAGCAATGCGGTTATAAAACATGACATCATGTGACCACACTGCTTAGTCACAGCAATCTCAGCATTCCCCACTGCCCTCATTAAGTGAGGATTGCAGGTTAAGCAAGTCCCAGGTGGCTTGCTAGCATGCCAGCAGGCAGGTAATATGTAGCATGCAGGATGAGTGCAGTGGGGCTGGCTGTTGCCAGGCTAGGGAGGGTGAGTGACCATTGCAAGTGCAGGGGCTGGGGTTGGCAGCTGCTGGGCATGGGAGGGTGCGAGTGACACTGGAGCAATTTGCGACCTTCCTTGCCAGCTTCCCCATTGACTCTGCTTGTGGGAAGCCAGCAGGAAGGTCGCAAATGGTGATCATGTGACCACGGGACGCTGCAACCGTCATAAGTGTAAGCCAGTTGCCAAGTGCCCACATCATGATCACATGACCCCAGGGGTGCTGTGACAGTCACTTCAAGGACCGGTCGTAAGTCTCCTTTGTCAGCTCCATTGTAACTTCAAATGGCCGCTGAACGAGTGGTCAGTTAGCAAGGACTACCGGTATAGAAGGGAACTCTGAAGTGTGGTTTTCTTAAATGCTCATAAAAAAACGGGGGGGGGGGGAGACTCAGAAAACACATTTTTTCAAATGAAATGTTTTCTTAGCAGCAAACAATAGAATAGTCTTCTGTCCTTTTATTTTTATAATTTTCATGGACTTAAGAAAACATAAGGTTCTCTAACCTTTCACTCGTTTGTTTCTTTCATGACCTGGCAGAAATATCTCTAAATTTATATCAATTTATTTCACAAACATTCTGTGTATTGTATGAAAAGAAAATATCTGAAAATCAATTTCTTTTCACTTTTCTTTTTGGGGAAAAAAAGGCCTTGGATGAAGCAGAAAACTCCCCCTTTTCTTTCCAGGTGTCTTAGAATGCATATGTTTTGTTTTAGCACTGCTATTCCATGATCCTACATCTCCAAATTGTTCAAAGTTAAATACAGAAAAATATACTAGGACAACTTCTGAAAAGCACAATTTTTCTACATTTCTAGAGGACAGTTCTAATTAGCTTGATTCATTCCAATGTACTAACTTAAGTAGATCTGGGTCAATGACTTGTAAAGCATCTGAGAATTATATTCTTTGAACCTCACAAGTCAATGAGTCGATTTCAGTGCATTGCAACAACACATAAAGCAAAATTTGCCAGTAAAATACAAAAAAAAAATAATTCAGTATTACTCAAAAAACTATTAACCTTTTAAACATAATTAGAGCTTGTCAATTCTCTTTCATTCTTACATATACTTGGGGATATCTGCTATTTTTAAGCAACAGATGGGTGAAATGATATATAAAATGAGAAGGCAACCTCCATTTCTGTCCTTTGACCTAATTTTTTTGATAGAGTCCAATTTCACTACTACTTTGAAGGCAAAATGTTCAACATTCTACATAACTTTATTTACTTATTTAATAAGTTTATAAGGCTAGCTACTTCCCTGGTAGAACATATTATATCACAATTCTTTACTTCAGGATATATCTCAATATTGTGAGCTATATAATTAAATCAGGTATCTCAAAAGTATATGATGCAGAATATTGCACATTCCAGCATAAAATCTTAGCATTCATCTCTCAAAGCTGAGTGGAATGTACATTTGGCAAATTATTGACTTTGAAAATTACTTCTCTCTGGATTATACATAACTTCAGGACATGATTTTATCATTCTGTTTTGCTTTCAGTCCACCCTACTCCTTACGTTTACAATCCTTAAAGTTCAAAATGGCTTGAATTTTGTAAACTGCGGAAGACTATTCTCATGTGCAGTTCTGAAGATAATAAATTATTGGAATTCCTCATTAGAATAATTAATTCTTTCCAGGTAAATTTGGGAATAAGGAAAGGCTCCTTTGGTGGCCATTTTTCAATTCTCTTTTATAGTACTGTACACTATCCAGAATCTTTGAAATGGTAAAATTTATTTACTATTTTAATTTCTAACGCTGTCCACTCACCAATGACTCTGGGTAGCTTACAGAAATATTTACTTAAGTTACCAAAACACAGAGTTTGTACATTGTAAATACAGTAAGCATTATTTATTAGCAAAAAGATACTCCAATAATATTTGATAGAGCTTCATAAGTGCATTGTAACAAAAGAAAAGCCAAGTAAGACTTTGACTTTCATGGTACATCTTCTGTTGAACAGAGCTTTGGATTTCTATTTCTGTATAGAACAGCTTCACTTTCAATCTGTGAGATGCTTGTCCTTGATGGATTTGGCTATGAGTCACACCTTCCTTTGGAACAAGTTTTGGCTTTTCAAGCTCACCAGCTGCATGTAGGTTATCTGAAGGAAGTCAAGCCACATGTAGCTAGGCTCAGATTCTTCACTTACTGGATATCTTTCAGTGAGTTGGTTCACTCCTTGGAGGATGGAATAACAGATTCCACATCTTAAATGTGCTAGCCCTATGTCTACTTGATTCCACTTAGTGACTAAAGAATTCAAAGTCTGCTGAAAAAAGTGGTTTATATATTTCAGTAGTTGTGCATGTTTTAGACTGTATAGAGCATAAAGCACCATTAGGTTCTTATCATGCACTACTAAATATAGCACAGGCTTTACCAGCTGCAACCCACACTTCTGTTAAAAAGTTTCAGCATGATGCATGTGCCTGTAAAACTAATATCCTATATTGTGATAACTGCCAAGAGCTGTTTGGTTGCACTGGGATATAAATGTAATACATAAGAAATAACAAAATCTAATTATTCTCAGAAATACAGATTTCTAATTCCACATGGAAGGCATTTATTAATCTTCATAGGTTAAGAGAATTTTCCTGTTCTACCAGTGAATGGTATTTCTGGATGTTTCAAAATAAACATGATAAAATAATGTTATAGTGTCTACTCATTTAATAGAGGAGATATTGGTAGAAAATTATTAATCAACAGAAATTCTGGCCACAGAAAGTTTGGTCAGTTAAAGAAATAACCAGGCTACCTCCCCCAAATAGAAAAAAGGTACTAGGACTGAAAGCTGCTCTATCTTGCTGCTTTATACATGTGACAATATTTCCATTAACTCAAATTAGACCCTACTTCGCTTAATCAGTAGCCAATGGACAGAGGAAAAACTACTTGTAACTGCAACGTCAATCTGTTTCCCTATTCTTATTTTGCAGTTTTACCTTAAAAACCCCACTTTAAAGACGTTACATCTATTAAACCTGATTACTCAGTGAAATTGTTCCTTCTTTCCACACCCTAGGCAGACATGGAAACGGCCGCTGGGAGTTCAAGTCTGACTTAAAGACTTGGGCCGTAATAAAAAAGATAAGAGGCTAATTATTTGTACAACGAAATTGATGCAGATGCAGCTGGCCAGCCGAGATGGGGGGACCTCCCTCAGAGGAAAGCACGCCAGCCCCCTCTCCCCCTTCCTAAAGCCCCTGTTACATAACGCTGTTGTACAGTCGGAAGCATTCCAGCTGTGTCTGCTTTTGCTCCCAACTCTCTTCCTCTCTGCCCCGCAGCTGCACGCAAACATCGCCACAATCCATCTCTCGCCCCCACCTTGCCACAACCCTCAGACTTGCTCCCGAAATCGGCAGTTACAGCGCACGCCACCGGCTTCCCCGCGCCACCCGGTGCACGTGCACCCAGGCGGCGGTTTCTCCTTTTAGACGTTCTGCTCCCACATCACTTCCCCCCGCCCACCCCTCACATCACAAAGCTGGGCTGACACAT